CTATAAGATTAGAGTATTAGATTAAACCCACGCTCAATTGGATCGCTTCATGGATTTTATCACGATTGATTGATGAGATGATAATATCTTATATTCTTTAAACCGAGACGTATGAGTTGTATTTTGCAAGTCGGTTGCACATTGATAATATGTAAACGCACCAGTAACTTGGTGTTATAAAACATATTATTGTGTGTGATTTGATAAGTAGATACAAGAGAGCATTAGAGTCAAAGTTTATCCGTTCCTTTTACCCAAAGTGGGATAAAAGCGATATCTATGGGCCCCTCGATGATTTAGTGATGACACCTAAGCGCTTGGCCAAGCCTGGACTAAGTTGATGTGTTCAATTGTAGTCTGTTGTCAGTCTTCATAAATCGGAAATCGGGAAACAACAAATAGATTGATCGAATGATTATAATCCATGTCTCATGTCTATACGATATCTATAATGGAGGAATATATGATCCCTTATCTTAAGGACACGTCACTGATAATATCAGAGTTCGACAGCAGCTTTGGTAGCAAAAATTTACTAATCAATTTTGAAGTTATACTTACAAATATAATTATTAGATTTATCCAAGTGGGAGACTGTTGGATTAGGTGTCTAAGTCCATAACTATAATTGATATGCACTTGAATTGATAGTAGCAATGTCCTTTTGAGTTGCCTTCAAAACCTAGCAATTGAATAGGAGAATTGTTGAAGAGAGAAGAATAATTTATTAATTTATTACTTGGTTAATAAATTAATTTATTAATGTATTATGGATATAATATATTAATTAGAAATCATATTGTTTAATTAATATTTAATCAGAAATTAATTTGGAATTAATTTTGGGATTAAAAGAATTAATTGAAACTGCAGGGTCTAAAGGTGACAATGTTCAAACGTTGAGAATTGAGCATTCTAAAACCTCCCTTAGAGGGATGGAACGAAATCTAGAGTGTCCTAGGGTTTCCTTGGGCTCTAAGGGTGCCTTTGAAGCCTTAGGGAGGAAGTTAAGGGATTAGGGTTATCTAACATACACTTGCCTTATCCTAAACCTTCATTATTGCCTATATAAACCCCTATAGGGTTGGATTTCGTCTAAGGGCACTCCAAGAGAGGCTAGGGCCGAATTTTCCACTTCCCTTCTCTCTCCATAGTAATCCTTGGTTGCTAGGTTTGTTTGTGAGCCATTAGAGACGCGACACTTGTGGCACTTGCTACCAAAGTTCAAGATCTTCAAGGAGTTGATTGTTATTACAATATAACAATAAAGGTATGTATCCTAACCCTAATTATATGTTAATTTCGAAAATTACATGTGCCTCTTAGGGTTTCTAGTTTTTGTGTTTATTGCTTGTATGTCTAATAGAGAAAACATAGATCCTCAAATTAGGGTTGCATGCACACATAGGATTGTTTGTTTTGTATAAAACTCATCATTTGTAACTCTATTAGAGATGCAACATTTGACGCACTAAGCTTTCAGAAGTCAAGATCAAGAGGAATTGAGATTGTTATTGCTACATAACAATCAAGGTAATATCTAAACCCTATTTTTATGTTAATATCGATTATCACATGCTAGATCTAGGGTTTATGAAATTTGGATGATTATTGCATGTTCATTAGACAAACTGGATCCAAAACTTTAGCGTTTGTATGTACACCATAGGATTAATGTTTCGCCTAAAATCCATCAAAAGATACCAAGGAATAAGCATGATGTGGTATGTGATATGATAGGGGAACTCACTAAGCTTTGTTCTTACGGTTTTTAGTTTTGTTTAAGGTACCTCTTCAGCGAAGGGGAAAGAGCCGACACGATAGCAGCGCATCACACACACACACACACACACCGAAATTCCACATTATGAGATTCTTAGGTTTGTAATCTGATATTATTATTACTACTATTATTGTTTTATGACATGGTTGAGACCCGGGGTCTATGATTTTTATGTAATGAAACAACTCGATGATGTTTTTATGAATCGTTATATCAAAAATGAAATTTTTTGCCTTGAAAATTGGGCTGTTACAATTAATGAAATTGATATAAATTTATTATTATATTTATTGCAATTATTACATTAAAATGTTATATAAAATTTAATAAAATAGGAAAACCCATAAAATGATATGTGGAAAAAAAAAATTAATTCAAAATTACCACAAATGACATTTGTTAAATTGAAGAAGAGCCTGCTATGTGACAAAAAAGTTATATATTTATTAGTGAGGAATTACTTTTTAGTTACCATTGAAAAGTCAGAATTGGTTGACAAAGTTCTTTGATTGATGGTGGTGAGGGACCCAATGTGGTGATTATTTCAAAAGAATCGCACGTCCGTTAGTGTTTTCAGATGATTTTGTTTTGGTTTCATTTTTTTCCGCTCAACCGTTATAATTGGTACATCAGTTTTTTTTTTTTTTTTTTTTTTTTTTTTTTTTTAATACTTACATAATAAGGCATATAAAAATATAAAAGAGAAAATGACTATGGAGGGAAACTAACTGTTGCGTTTGTTCTCATTTGGTCTCTTTCCTTTTTTGTACTCAATATACCATCGAACTTGTTGTTTGTGTTCACCACAACTCTTTTGACTGACTTTTGACATGTGATACCCGGTCAAAGACTTATGGTGAACACAAACAACAAGTTCGATGGTATATTGAGTACAAAAAAAAGGAAAGCGACCAAATAAGAACAAACTCAACAGTTGGTTACCATCCAGAGTCATTTTACCTTAACTCATTTACAACAAATCCCACATCATCTCCTGCTCATATTAATGACTTTATGAGATTCATTTTTGTTTCTCTTCAAACATAACCCACGAAAGAACATCAGTCATACATGTACAACTTCGTAATGCACTTAAATATTTATTAGGTAATCTTGACTAAGAAAGTGCATTTCATGACTACATTTACATTTCTAATCAAATGATTTATCGTATCATAGATTCTAGACAAGCCTACAAACGAGTGGAATCATAAGTGTTGTGATTTTTTAGTTTACTTAGCTTTAAGATCGAATTCATGGGATAAGATACAACATCAATATGTATTATATCATGCAGCTTTTGCAGACACATCACCATAATATACCTTAAGGTAAACGTTTATGCTGATAAATATAGCTCTCATACCCAGTCATATCCTTTTGCAGAGAGGCGTTGACAAGTAACCATAGTAAGAATAACATAGATCATGTTTTAACGAAGCTACCCCTTTGAAACGCTCGTCATGTACATTATGGCTAAAGAAGGTTGCAGTCTTTGATAATTTTGCAACTTTAATTTCATTTTGGGTAAAATGACTCAGGAGGGTAACCAACTGTTGAGTTTGTTCTCATTTGGCCCTTTTTTGTACTCAATATACCATCGAATTTGTTTTTTGTGTTCACCTTAATCCTTTGACCGACTATCATAGGTCACAAGCCGATCAAAATGGTTATGGTGAACACAAATAACAAGTCCGATGACATATTAAGTACAAAAAAGAAAAGGAAAGAGACCAAATAAGAACAAACGCGCAACAATTAGTTACCCTCAAGAGTAATTTTCCCAATTTAAAAATATTCCCTAAGAATTTAGACACAGTTCGTTGAAATTATATCTTTGAATACCCTCTTAAGTAATTGACCCTAATATATAAAGATGTATTTTTTTTTTCTTTTTGTCATTTCAAAGATATAAGTATACCAAATTAGGGGGTATGACGGTTTTTTCCGGGTTTACCGTTAAACCATAAACGAAATATAAACAAAAAATAAAATTAAGAAGAGTAGACTTATAAGACTAGGAGAAGCAACTTCTTTATATATATATATATATATATATATATATATATATATATATATATATATATATATATATATATATATATATATATATATATATATATATATATATAAGGGAAATAATATAAATTGCTTGAAAGAACTAGGAATTTAAGAGATAGGCTAAGAGAATCGGAAAAAGAGTGTTTAGAGAGACATAAGAAATTTGATAGAACCAAAATTTTATTATGGATATTCGATGCATTTTACAATCGTCTGCAACCCTTTATATAGGCAAAGGTAATGTAAGATTTACAATTACAAAATATTCGGTCGACAAATCGTACAAATCATATAAAGTAGAAAACGACTATACATCTTATGATTACATATTTGAAAGAAAATGGTTGCACATCTGTAAAAGTAGGAAATGATAATTCTATACGACAACTATAATTTCATGAATGGCCCTCAAATATGTTCATACTTATCTCTTTGTATCCTCTATATATTGTCAACAGAAACTGGTGATCCCGGGTCTGTGTCAATCTGTTCTTCACTGTTCATGATATCTTCTAGTCTTAATAATATATCTCCTTCACCAGTGAATGGCAAGAGCATATGCCAATTTTGGTGAGATCAAATTTGTAAGTAGTGTCCTTCTGCTAGGTGTTTATAATTTTCTCAACGAAAACTTGCTGGTAGTAAATGTGTTTTTTGAGCCGTGCATATATCTTCATTTGAAAGATTCTGTAGAGTTCCAAAATCTATTTTTTGTTTGCATGATAACTTTCTAAGATAACCATGTTGTACTGTTCTTTGGGTGATGAAAATCTTTTTTCTAGCAGGTCTGTATGTATGCTCATCTGCCGCTGGAAAAGAAGAAAAAAAATTTGCACCCAATAATTGGATTGATGCTATGAGAGGCGATATTTCCGGCTGTTAAAATAAAATTTTCTTGTAATTTATTAAGAAGACTTTATGTGTTGCTATTGAGGCAAAATTCTAAATAATCGATCATGAGTATGATAAAAAAATAATTATGTTCTTCTGGCATGTCTGTAGTTTTTAGGTTTATCTGTAAGAAGAGTATAAGAGTATTTTAAAAAAAAAAAGTTATGTTTTTATACCGAGTCAAACTTTTTCTTAAAATATACATACATACAATTCTACTACAATAATATATAATCGCTATTGCCATTTTCCAGCTATTCATTATAGGTTCCTTAAAACGACAGCGTTCCGTAGTTCAATACCATAAACACACCTTGTGTCAACTTGCACATGTTAACGCACCCGCAACAAACCGCTATTCATCATTTCCATCTTCCCATACACACACGGCCTCACTTCATCACTCCGGCCACAGGCCATCCTTTCTCTCCTCGTCGCCGGTTTCACCATTTCTGTCCATCTTCATCACACCTTTCGGAACCCTAGTGACTGTAAAACAGAAGCGAACAATTAGTTAGAGAAGAAGAAAATCACATAATGCCTCGTGAAATCATCAATCTGCAAGTAGGGCAATGTGGAAATCAGATCGGGATGGAGTTCTGGAAACAACTATGTCTTGAACACGGAATATCTAAAGACGGCATTCTCGAAGAATACGCCACTCAGGTTACACACGAACGTCTATGCTTCGAATATATATGTGCTTCGTTGTTGTAATAACTTGATTTCAATTGTATAAACCAACAAATTACAACCTGTTTCACAACCACAATTAAACACAATTCAATCGGCATAAAAATGTTTTCACATTTTTTGTTCTCGTGATCACATTTGTATAGGGTTTACGTTCCCTTTAGTGTTAAAAACGTGAAACACCTTTTGTTGTTTGAGAAACAAAATGTTAGGTTAGGAGAGGCCAATTAAGCATTCATCGATGATAATCTGATGCAATCCATATCAAAATTCAGTTTTTCGTGTTACTTAGCTTCGATGCTAGAGGCTAGAAATCAGTGTACTCCTTATTCATAAATCATATGTCTGTATCAATTATGAGTTGAGATACTTTTCAATTTTCAGCATGTTGACATTGAACTTGTTGCAGGGAGGAGCAGGGGACAGGAAAGATGTATTTTTCTATCAAGCTGATGATCAACATTACATACCACGAGCTTTGCTTGTGGATCTAGAACCAAGAGTGATTAATGGAATCCAAAGTGGTGAATATAGGGATCTTTATAATCATGAGAACATATTTATTTCACAAGAAGGAGCAGGAGCAGGAAACAATTGGGCTAGTGGATATGAACAGGTAAAATTCTGTTTTCAATTTTGCATCATCTACTCATCAACCTCTTAACAATTAAGATTATCCACTAATTATATGATCTTAGAACATAATCATTATCTTTCAAATAGGGTAAGCATTTTGAGGAGGATCTGATGGACATGATAGATAGAGAAGCAGATGGAAGTGATAGTCTCGAGGGATTTGTTTTATGTCATTCTATTGCTGGAGGAACAGGCTCAGGTTTTTCCAATTTCTTTTCTAATTTTTTTTTTTAAATCTTTGTATTATGTCCTTGAATGGAACTACATTCAACCAAATTGTAATTTAGTCTATTTACCATATTTCCATGTAGGAATGGGATCATATATTCTTGAGACATTGAATGATCACTACAGCAAGAAACTTATTCAGACATACAGTGTTTTTCCTAACCAGAATGAGACAAGTGATGTAGTGGTTCAGCCTTACAATTCACTCTTGACACTTAAACGTCTCACTCTGAATGCTGACTGTGTAGTGGTTATTGACAATACTGCCCTCAATAGAATTGCAGTGGAAAGGCTTCATATTCAGAATCCAACTGTCTCTGAGACTAATTCTTTAGTTTCTACTGTTATGGCTGCAAGTACAACCACCCTAAGGTACCCCGGGTATATGAACAATGACTTGGTTGGACTTCTTGCTTCTTTGATTCCAACGCCTAGGTGTCATTTTCTTATGGCGGGGTATACCCCACTAACTGTCGAACGCCAGGTAGGTCTTTGTATACAATTTTTTTTAATAAAAAACGGATTTGTATGTATTTATGCACTTAATAAATACCTACTTTATAAATATGTATTTTGCATACAAAGATGTTTTACAAAAAGGTTTTTGTATAGAAAAAAGGTTTTTATGTGAAAATATGTTTTTTTTTTGTATAAATATGATTTTATAAAGCAAAAAAAAAAACATATTCGAAACAAAATTTTGAGAAAAAGTTGGAAAAAACTTAATTTAGGATGAATTTGCAACAAAATTTTGAAATCTTAGGCAAAAAATGTAAATTCTAGAACAAATTTGTAATAAAATTTAAAATCTGAGACAAAAGTATACATTTTGGACCAAATTGGTAATAAAATTTAAATTATGAGACAAAAGTGTAAATTTTAGACCAAATTAGTAACAAAATTTAAATTCTATGCCAAAAGTGTAAAGTTTGGACCAAATTTATAATAAAATTTAAAATCTAGGTAAAAAAGTGTAAATTTTTGACCAAATTAGTAATAAAATTTAAGATCTAGGCCAAAAGTATAAATTCTGGACCAAATTTGTAATAAAATTTAAAATCTGGGAAAAAAATAGAAATTTTGAACCAAATTTATAATAAAATTTAAAATCTCGGCAAAAAGTATAAATTTTGATCCAAATTTGTAATAAAATTCAAAATCTAAGCCATTAGTGTAGTTTTGTAAAGTTGGATGACCTGCTTCTTCTGAGTGCTGACTAGATAAAAGGGTCACAATAAATATAATTTTAGGTTTTTGTGACTTAATTAATTTAAAAAATAATAATAATAAATAAATCGATAATGAGACCTACACATATAGAATATGAGTAGATTTCCCCATCTATAAACTAGATAGTTGACTATTACCTTTAATTAACTTGCTCTATGGGAAAAAAACCCTCTCCAATATCTTTTGTTAAAATTTAAGACCTTTTCTATTGGAAAAGATCTCAAAAAGCTCATATTGTGGATGCTTTAAGCTTAATCACTTCCACTTTGGTATCTCATTATGTAATAATATATACTGATCTTTTAGGCTAATACGATTCGAAAAACCACAGTTCTTGATGTGATGAGAAGACTTCTTCAGGTAAACAACTTGCATAAAATCTCCTAAAACTACTTTTCTAATTAATCATCTTATATGCTAATTGTCTTTCTTTATTTTGCAGACTAAAAATCTAATGGTAACCTGTAACGCTAGAACGAAGCAAGCCAGTCAAGCAAAATACATATCAATTTTAAACATTATCCAGGGAGAAGTTGATCCAACTAAGGTAACCACAAATTACAATTACACATTTTTAACCATTTCTTTATATAATAAATTATGACTTTGATACTTTTTTTTTTCTCTTTTCTTTCTTCAGGTTCACGAAAGCTTGCAGAGAATACGTGAAAGAAAGCTTGTTAACTTCATAGAATGGGGTCCTGCTAGCATTCAAGTAACCGATGTTAATTACATGTTTGCCCTTTTGCTTTCTAGTTTTTACATATCATTTAGTTTCACATAAGTTTTGTATTTAGGTTGCTCTCTCAAGGAAGTCTCCCTATGTTCGAACTGCCCACAGGGTAAATTTTTGCAAATTTTATCATCTTGTTTATTGCTAATTAGTTCTTATTATTAATACAAATAAAACATTGTACTTTTTTCTAAAAATATATTTTAGGTTAGTGGGCTCATGTTAGCAAGTTACACTGGAATTCGACATTTATTCTCCAAGTGTTTGAGCCAATATTCTCTTTTGAGAAAAAGACAAGCCTTTCTCGACAAGTACAAGAGTTTTCCTATGTTTGCTGTAAGTTATTCATTAAAAAAAAAAAAAAAATTATTCGATTGGAAATTTTTTAATTTTTTTTTTTTTTGACATGTTAAGGATAATGATCTTTCGGAATTTGATGAGTCGAAAGACATACTTGATAGTTTGGTTGATGAATATAAGGCGTGTGAGTCCCCTGATTACATCAAATGGGGAATGGAGGTATACATGAACAAATATTTGAATATATAATTATATATATATATATATATATATATATATATATATATATATATATATATATATATATATATATATATATATATATATATATATATATTTTGTTTTGGGTTAAATGTAAGAAATGGAAATATAGTTTCATTGATCTGTTCACATGTGATGTTAGGACCCACATAATCTTCTGACTGATGAAGGAACTGATATTGGAACAATCGATCCTACTTACCAATATCAATAATACAGGTGTGTTATTTTAGTGTAAAAAAGAAAAAGTTTTTTATTTTTTATTTTTTTTATGTATACAATATTTGCATGTCATAATCTCTACAAATCCAGACTATCTCAAAGCATTTGGGGTACAATGAGATAACACAAAGGAAGCAACGACATGTGGGCATTATGGAGAGTCTCTCTAAACTAGGACTTGGATATTTTTGTTGAAGTTGTTTAAATATTTTTGAAGATATTTGTTTTTAGTTTTAGTCGCTTTTTTCCGAGTTGAAATTTCCAAAGAACTAGTGTTGGTTTTAGGGGCTTACACTTAATCTATTTCTTTCTAATTTTCACATTCTTTTAAATAAAATAATTAAAAGCATATAAACTAATAAATAAATAAACATGTAAAAGCAATAGTAATGTAACATTTTATGTCTTCTCATATGTTGATGCTACTAATCATCATGTTGTAATATCATCACTATGAAATTTTCTTATTGTTGAGCGGATATAGCTTCCATCTCTCCTTTGAAAATGTCAAGTATGTATGGTGTTGTGTGCACATACTTTCCGTTAAACTTGGTCGTAGTGTTAACAAACGTTTCAGGTTCCATCCTCGTCTTTTTCATAAGTCTCACTTCATGTTCCTATATCATTTCTCAAAATCTTCCAAGTAGGTTTTTTTCTTGCTTTTTCATTACTCCCTCCAACATGAGTTTGAATTATTCCAACATAGTTAGGATTGCTTGCTCAAGATTACTGTCCTCGTTTATCTTCTTTTCCACAGCTTGGCAACAACTTCTGGTTGTCACCATCTATAGAATTCTAATGGGTTAGTTCCAGAAAATACTAACTAATCTTCTATAACTATATACTTAAAGAATTGTATGTCTTCGACTTCCTTGTCATTGTCTTGTATTTTTCAGGCTCTTACAAAACGTCTTGTAACCTTAGATACTACCAAGCGTAGTTAGAGTAACTTCTTTCATGACAGGAGTTCCCATACTATTTTTATGATTAAAAGGATACAACTAACACATATGTTCATTCCATGATATATTCATAGGATAGCACTAAGATAATAATTAAGCATCTAGAGACCTAAGCACATACATCTCTCACTTATTCCAAAGTCAAATATGATATTTATAAACATCTCTAAAGCAATCCTAGTTTAAGTTGTAACACCGTAAATTTCAAAACAAAATTTTCAAATTTTATAAAACATAATTCACTTAATATTCATAAAACAACCATGTTTGAAAATCAATCCAAGTAATACAAAAATCCCAAAATCTCATAATCGTAAAATCCCATGCGTGTGTACTGATCAAGCCGGTGCCTTCCCACGGTCGTCACTAGTACCTGAAATAAATAACACCAAACACTGTAAGCACAAAGCTTAGCGAGTTTCCCAAAATACCATATATAACACATATTAGCCACTCGAGGCTATAACTCTGTGGGTCCGTGCACAAAGTCGCCGACCTGAAACTCAATTTCGGATCGGCGTCTGCCCACATAACTCTTCTGTCGACTCTGAGCAGTCAATAACCTATGTCTGACCTACTGGATCTGCTCTATCGTCTGAAGTACGATCTCAGTGTTGCCCATAACAAGCTGTCCGACTTCTCCCCAACAAATGGGGGTCCGACACCTCCTCCCATACAACAGCTCAAAGGGTGGCATACCAATGCTCGAATGATGACTGTTGTTGTAAGAAAACTCTGCCAAGGGCAAGTACGTATCCTAACTCCCCCCGAAATCCATCACACATGCCCGGAGCATGTCCTCGAGCGTCTGAATCATCCGCTCACTCTGTCTGTCTGTTTGGGGGTGATATGCGGTACTAAAATGCAACCTAGTACCCAGCTCCTCATGAAACTTCTTCCAGAATTTGGAAGTGAAATGTACATCCCGATCTGAGATAATCGAGATCGGCACCCCATGCCGAGATACCACTTCCCTCACGTACATCTCTGCTAACTTCTCTGCGGAAGAACTCACGCTGATAGAAAGGAAGTGAGCGCTCTTCGTCAACCTGTCCACAATCACCCAAATTACATCAACTCCCCTAGCAGTCCTTGGCAATTTGGTGATGAAATCCATGGTGATTTGTTCCCACTTCCATTCAGGAACCTCCAACGGCTGCAACTTACCATGCGGTCTCTGGTGTTCGGCCTTAACCCTACGGCAGGTTAAGCACCTCTCAACAAACAACGCAACATCCCTCTTCATACAGGGCCACCAATACTCCTTTCTTAAATCCAAATACATCTTAGTGGCCCCAGGATGGATCGAGAATTTTGACTGATGAGCCTCTTCCATCAAAATGGTACGCGTTCCTCCCACAAACGGTACCTAAATACGCCCCTGAAATGTCATAAGCCCCCGACCATCGGTAACGAACTCCGATACCAACCCAATATCCCTTCCTGGTTAACAAGATGTCCTAGGAACTGGACCTCTCGCAACCAGAAATCACACTTGCAGAATTTGGCATAAAGCCTCTCCGATCTCAGAACTCCGAGGATCTCCCTCAAATGCTCCTCATGCTGCTCTCTAGATCTCGAATATACCAAAATGTCATCAATGAATACAATCACCGACCGATCCAACATCGGCCTGCACACCCGGTTCATAAGATCCATGAACACTATCGGGGCATTGGTGAGTCCGAAAGGCATCACCACAAACTCATAATGCCCATAAGGCGTCCTAAACGTTGTCTTCTGGATGTCCTCATCTCGTACCCTCACTTGATGGTAACCAGACCTCAAATCGATCTTGGAGAACCAAGATGCTCCTTGCAACTGGTCGAACAAATCGTCGATCCTCGGCAACGGGTAACGGTTCTTGACCGTCAACTTGTTCAACTCCCGGTAATCAATGCACATCCGGTGTGAACCATCCTTCTTCTTGACAAACAGAAGAGGCGCTCCCCACGGCGAGCTGCTCGGCCAAATAAACCCCTTCCCCAGCAGCTCTTGAAGCTGCGAGTATAACTCTTGCATCTCTGTAGGTGCAAGACGATAAGGCACCTTGGCAATAGGCGCGGCCCCTGGGAGCAAATTGATACCGAACTCTACTTGCCTCACGGGAGGCACACCCAACAACTCTTCTGGAAAGACATCCGGGAACTCACGCACTATAGGAACCTCCTCCACCGACCTCGGCCTCTCGGAATCAACCCGCGTATCCGACATGTACGCCATAAAACCCTTACAGCCCTGCTGTAGACACTACCTCACCGTAGCGGCCGAACAAAACACTGATCCAGAACGGGTACCCTCGCCGTACACTGTAAGAATTCCCCCACTAGGGTCTCGTATGGTCACCAGCTGTCGCTCGCAGTCGATAACCGCACCGAACCTACTCAACCAATCCATGCCCACAATGACACAGACATCCCCCATGGCAATAGGAACCAAATCAATCGGGAACTCCACACCGAAAATATCGAGTACGCACCCACGGATCACCTCCGTGGCATATATCACCCTCTCGTCAACTATGGAAACTCTCAGAGACCGATTCAGCGCCTCGCGACTAACACTGATGTGCTGACTAAAAGCCAAAGATACAAAAGACCGACTCGCACCCAAGTCAAATAACAACAAGGCAGGTACAAAATTCACAAGAAAAGTACCTACGTATAACATAATATAAGCATAATATCTCAATATTAATATAAATACACGAAAGAATACATACCAGCCATGACATCGAGCGCTGCACGGACCTCTTCTGCGGTCAACTGAAAAGCTCTCCCTCGTGCCCTCGGCGCCTCGACCTTCACTAGCCGACTCTCGGTAGCTCTGATGGCGGCAAGGGCAGATCCCTGAGGTGCTCCCTGAGCTGATCTCCACAACTGCGGACACTCTGCCTTCCGGTGTCCGGTCTGGTTGCAGTGAAAACATACTGCAAACCCCTTGGGGTAGTCCTTGGCCATATGTCCCTCCTTGCCACATTTGTAGCAAGGTCCAGCTCTACATACTCCATCATGACCCTTGCCGCACTTTCCACAAGTGCAGCCCTTCTAGCTCCCTGATTTGGGATCAAAGGGCTTGGCCTGCTTGGCTGCCGGCTGGAATTGTGCCGGTCACCGATCCCTCCCCTGAGACTCAGCCTCCTCTCTAGCTTGAGTCTCCAGCTCAATCTCCCTCTTCCGGGCATTTGCCTAAAGCTCAGCAAATGTCCGGTATGAGGAGTTCGCCACGAACTCCCAAATGTCTCGCCTCAAGATACTCAAATACCGGCTCATACGTGCCTGCTCAGTGGACACGTGCTCAGGGCAGAACATCGCCCTCTCGTGGAACATCCTGGTAATCACTGTAACAGACTCAGTGCCCTGCTTGAGGGTCAGAAACTCCTAGGCCAAACGCTCCCTCTCCACTTGGGGAACGTACTCATCTCAGAACATGGCAGTGAACCTCTCCCAGGTTACCGCCGCAAGCTCAGCAGGCGAAAAGTGCACTGTCACAAACTTCCACCAGTCCTTCGCTCCCAAGCGAAGCTGGTTCAGCGCGAACCGTACTCTCAAATGCTCAGGAGATGAGCAAGTGAAGAAACACCCCTCTATGTCATAAATCCATCACATAGCCACCACCGGGTCCTGGGTCCCATCAAACTCTGGTGGTTTCGTGTTACTGAACTCCCGGAACAACAACGCATCACCACCCTGCGGCCTCGCAGCAGCAACAACTGCGGTGGCTGCCGCAACAGCAGCCTCAGAGAGAGCAGCATAACGCTCGTCGAAAGTCTCAATCAACGTGGTCTTAATAGACCTGAACATCTCTGGTATCTCTGCCCTGATGGCCGCATCCACCTCCTCGTGGATGATCTGACGGATCTCCTCATCACTAGCCCCAATACCCTCTAGCATATGACGTGTCCTCACCATGATCAACCTCTGAAATACAACATACGATAAATTAGAATCCATTCGAGCATACTCACACTCGACAACTCATCCCTCCTTGATCCTTGGCATTCTGAAGATTCTTACTCGGACCGTACACCGCCCCGGTTCTTTTAGTAGTACGTCCAAACCGTTTCAGTATACACCCCAAATCCTCCTCTTCGAATCCCAATTTCCAAGCACTCTATCACTTTCTAACAGATCTCTAATAAGCTCCTCGTTGCTACCTATTCACTCTCAAGAATCTCATAGTAGCTCACCTCTCCCTAGGCTAAGGCATCACAAATCAAGGCACTCTAGTCCTAATAGGAATACCTAGCCTACTCTAGCAAGAGAATACATCATAACAATCTCATAAACATATAATATAAGGGTATTTTGGGAAATCACCGTTCGGA